CATATCAATACCAGGATCCGCACGGTCAACTCACGTGCTACGCGGACAACTCACGTGCTATGGTATCAATACCTAGACCCGCACGGTCAACTCACGTGCTACGCGGACAACTCATGCGCTATGGTATTAATATCCTTACAACCAGGACCTCGGCCTCACTCAATCATGTACCTCACTAGCCTCATCATCACCAACAAATAAGGGAACACAGCCCACATCAAGTATCACCGCATATTAGCAATTAATAGAGACTTAGGTAAACATGTACAATAATTTCTATGACTGAGTACAAATAATGTGAGCGTGAATAAAGCCTAAGCATGATCTCTATCATGAAGCAAACAAGTTCAACAACAATTAAACACATAACCAAAGATAATAGCCATTAGGCCTCACAGCCTCACGGGACAGACCTAGTTTCAATCCCTCGCGGTGCACACCCACACGCCCGTTACCTAGCGTGGGTATCACTTCCAAACAATCACGTGATGTCAAATCTCCGGGTTTATACCCTCAAAGCCAGAGTTAAAACTATTACTTACCTTAACAGCATAAAGATCCTACTCAGGGATGCCCTCGTCTCTCGACTCGGTCTCCAAATGCTCTTAATCTATTCACAATCAGTACAATACCATCAATATACGCTAATGGAATGAATTCCACAAGAAAAACTATCAAATTATGCCAAAAATACGAAACCGACCAAAACCCGACCCCCGGGCCCACGTCTCGAAGTCAGTCAAAAATGGCAGAATAATAAACCTTGTCCTCTCCCAAGTCTAACCAGACCAAATTCATCAAAATCCAACATCGTTTGGTCCTTCAAATCCTTAAATTACTCCCTAATAATTCCAAGCCCTAACCCCTCATTTTCACTAATTACCATGATTAAACAACGGAAAATCACCATATATACAAGTATTAAGACTCAAGTAACTTACCTCAACGTAATCCCTTTGATTCCCTCTTCAAATCTCTCCCAAAAGCTCCAAAAACCGAATAGAAATGGTGAAGAACGCACCAAAATTCGCGAAGTGTGATATATAGGATCTGCCCCAGGGATTCCACACCTGCGGACCCTTTCTCGCACCTGCAGACTCGCATATGCGGTCCCAGGTGCTCATATGCGAAAGTCACTTATCGGACTTATTTGTGTATTTGGTTGAGATCCCGAGAGACTTGGGTGAGTTTCGGACGGCTAACGGATCATTTTTGGCATTTGGTGAGATAATTGATAGCTGCTGGTATTTATCTTCTGGTTTCCTTATACGCGATCGCATAAGTTCATTCGGGATTGCGTAAGCTAATTTGGGGTAAAAGTGACTTTGTTCTATACGATCGCGTAGGCTTGTTTGGGGGAGTGATGATTTTGTTCTCCACGATTGCGTGAAGAGAGTCGTGATCGCGTAGCTATGGGAGTTTGCTATTCGCGAATGCGTGAAGAAGGTCGCGTTCGTGTAGAGTAAATGAAGCTGAAGTGGAGGTCAGGCGTTTGTGCTTCGCGATCACGTGGATGAGTTCGCGATCACTTAGGCCTGTGAGTTTGAGCTTCGCGATCGCGTAGGGTTAATTTAGGCAGTAGGAGAATTTTTCATCGCGATCGCGTGGACAAGTCCGCAATCGCGTAGAGCAAATGACTGGACAAAGAGTTTAAGTTTGGAAAATGGGACTTGGTCCCATTTTTCATTTTTACAGATTTGGAGCTCGGATTGAGGCAATTTTTAGGAGATTTTCAGAGCAAATAACGGGTAAGTGTTCTTAACTCAATATTGGTTAAATTACCCGAATACATCATTGTTTTTATCATTTAATTGGTGAATTAAGTTGGAAATGTTTGAAAACCCTCTTGGATGAATTTGATGATTTGAGGGCCGAATTGTTATCGGAATTTAGTAATTTTGATATGGGTAGACTCGTGGTTGTATTGGCGTTCATATTTCGTAAATTACGCCGGATTCCGAGATGTGGGCCCCACGGACGATTTTTGAGTTAGTTCCGAATTTTTATTGAAAAATGTAGTTTTTTCTTATGAAATTGATTCCTAAAAATTTTGGTGACTTTATCGAATTATTTTGGCTAGATTCGAGCCATTCAAAGTTGGATAATCGAGAAAAAGCCTACTAGTGGATTAAATTGGAGTAAGTCGAGGTAAGTCTCTTGTCTAACCTTGTAAGGGAGAATTTAACTCATAGGTGATTTAAAATAATAATTATTGCTAATTATGGGGGCTACGTACCCACGAGGTGACGAGAGTCCGTGCGTAGCTACTATTTATGCTAAATTTCGGGTAGTTTAGGACTCAAATCATGAATTATGTGTGTTAATTGTATTCTTTATTTAATTAATGTATTTGAAGTATATTGTGAATTACTAGGGAAGATAGTAAAAGATTGAAATCTCATATACTTGGATTTTTGTNGCACGTCCCTCGGCAGTGTACACGACACTCTGGATCGGGTCGTACGACCTCGGCAGAAATTGTGACTAATAATAATAATTACACGATACCTTGATATTTTAATTGCAGGTTGTGAAGTTAAATAAATTGGGAATTGTCGTATTTGAAGGAATTTAATTATTTCTGCTGGTTAAAGAAAATTATTGTTAATTCTATAAATCATGTTGATTTAAATATTTCTATTTTTATTTTATTTATTATTATTGACCCTTAGTGAGTGTCAAAGTCTACCTCTCGTCACTAGCTCTTCGAGATTAGGCTTGATACTTACTGGGTACACGTTGTTTACGTATTCATGCTACACTTTTTGTGCAGGACCTAAGACAGGTGTTATAGTTGAACCTATCAGCGCGCACCCAAGTTATCCAAAGGCTTAGTGGTGAGTTGCCTTTCTGATCCATTATGCAGCAACTAGTGCCTCTTCTTGAAATTTTATTCTGTCTATTTCATTTCAGACAATATTTAGAATTTTTGTATAATCTACTAGATGCTCATACACTTGTGACACCAGGTCTTGGCACACACTTGTAGAATTTTTGGATTTAATTTTGTTCCTGTATTTTTTTTTATTTACCATATCTTTTTATATTGTCTTAATTCACTACAATAAAAAGGGGCTTTAGCGGTAATAAAAAAGGGAATTAGCGGCAATAACAATAGCTGCTATATCATTTACCGGCCATTGATGGTTAGCCGCTGAAATTGGGGTCGGCAAAGCCTTTAGCGGCGATTATCACAAAAGCTGGTAAAAGGGATGACTTATTGCCGCTAAATATCATTTGCTTTAACGGCAATTGTTTGCGACAATTATGATGGCTGCTAAATCCAATCTAAAACGGCTACTAATGATCTTTTAGTGTCCATTTTTATAGTTGCTAAATTTAAAAAGATTGTTGCTAAAAGGGCATACCTTTAGCGGTAATTATTTTGTGGTAATTAAAATGGCTATAAGATCCCTTCTATAAAACGTATTAGTATTCCCTTTTAGCATCTATTTTAATGGCTAGTAAATTCAATTAAATTGCCGCTAAAAGTCATCATTAACAGCAATTATAATGGCTACAATATCCTCTATGGAAACATCGCAATTTGCCCTTTTATCGTTCATTTTTATAACTGGTAAATCCTGTTAAACGGCCGCTAAAAGTCACCAGCTATAACGACAATTGCTTACCAATCATTAATAATACTACATTCGTTCAAAAGATGATCCAAATAACAAAACATATTAATAATAATTCATAAAAACATAATGTATCTCATTAAATCTTAACAAATAAAAGGAAGTACTAATCCAAAATATTAATATCACAATAACTTAAAAATAAACTTATATTGTTTGAAGTAAATAGCTAATGTCATTATATGACTAATCCTAACGAATAATAGTCTTCAAATAATTTCTGCAACTCTTCATCATATTGAAATCTTCAACCCGCAAAATTATCAATCATCAGACTATATGACCTGAAATTATAAAATAACTACGTCAATACATGAAATATATGAGCACGGTACATGTACGCATAAGCAAGTAAATCTTCTTTTTCTACTAGCCATCACTAAATATAAGACAGAGATAATCACACCAATGTAAGACAACAAAAACATATAAACTTTATGCAAGATTTGGAGGGATTTCACTTAAGAAGAAGTTGTAGTTCTGCACTAAATACTCTGCTCATATGAAGATATCCATTTACTCCCAATCAGATAAATTACCAATAGAAGTATGATACTTATATTTCCTTCTACTTCCTAATAATTGTATATGGATTTACCAAATATGTGCTTATATACCAACTGTACACTTTCAGTGAACAATTAGATTTGCACTTCCAAATGTGTGCGTATATACCAATTGTATATGGATTTACCAAATGTGTGTGTATATACCAACTGTGCACACAACAATCAAAATCACTTCAAAGTTGGAGGGAATGGATATTATTGTAAGGGATAATAATCGATTCCACTGCTTCAGTAAAGGGCAGTGTTCTTGTAAAAACTATTGGTAGTCATGTCATTTTGTGTACCAAACTACAATATCTTATGCTCGGCTCGTAGATAAGCATATTTACTAGCTACAGAAAAATAGTTAGGCCAGTTTGGCTAATGCCATTTGCTGGATCTTTACAACATTCTCGGAATCAAGGCGTTAAGACAGCTGATGACAACTCTGTTTGGCTGGTTACTTTGTTCTACCAGCAATATTTATATTGTGGATAGAAGTATTAGATTTGCACTTCCTAATTAGATTTACCATATGGAAAGCTTGTTGTTTTGACCCAAATCCATATTAACAAGTTGCACTCCGCACAAGTTTCTCCACTCCGCACAAGTTTCCAGAGGAATTCAAGGTCCCCCAGTCAATGCTAATATGTTTAATACTTGATTTGAATAACCCCAGGTCAACAAAAAGAGTTTTGTTTTTGAGAGCAGAAGTAATAACTATGCGAGTAATAGAGCAGCTGTAACGACCCGACCGGTCGTTTTGAGCCCTGGCGCGTCATTCGGCGGTTCGAGGCCTTGAGTAGCTTCACTTCAGGTGTTATGACTTATACGTGTGGTTGGAATTTAATTTCGGGAAGTTCAGAGTTGATTTGGAAAGAAAATTCTAAATTTGGAAGCTTTAAGTTGGAAGAGTTTACCAAACTTTGACTTTCGAGTAAACGACCTCGGAATCGAGATTTGAAGGTTCCAACAGGTTCGTATGATGATTTCAGACTTGGGCCTATTGTGGAAGTTGGCATTTTGGGAAAAATTTCATAAATTTGGGTTGAAGTGTATTTCAATGTTATCGATGTCCATTTGTGATTCTGAGTCTGGGAATAGCTCCGTATGGTGATTCTGGTCTTAGTAGCGCCCGGATGTTAATTTGGAGGCCCGTAGGTAATTTCGGAGTCATTTGGCGAAAGTTAGAAATTTAAAGGTTTTTAAGCAGTTTGACCGGGAGTGGACTTTTTGATATCGGGGTCGGATTTCGATTCCGGAAGTTGGAGTAGGTCCCTAATGTCAATTATGGCTTGTGTGCAAAATTCGAGGTCAATCAGATTTGATTTGATAGGTTTCGGCGTCGAATGTAGAAGTTTGAAGTTCTAAAGTTCATAAAGCTTGAATTGGGGTGCGATTCGTGATTTTGATGTTGTTTGATGTGATTTGAGGCCTCAAGCAAGTTTGTGTTATGTATTGGGACTGGTTGGTACGATTGGACGGGGTCCCGGGGGCCTCAGGTGTGATTCGGGATAGTTCCGAACCAAGTTTGGGTGTTTTGATGCTGCTGGTTGCTGGTTCTGGTGTTGTTTTCCGCGTTCGCGAGGAGCCTCTCGCGTTCGCGAAGAAGGATTTTGCTGCTGGGACTTTGTTCTTCGCATTCGCGAAGAAGGAATTTTTGTCGTCCGTCGTCTGACTTCGGAAGCTTATATCTCTCAATCTATAAAGAATCTGGAGATGATCTAAAAATGAAAGTTGTAGCCCTTAGTGTCTAGTTTTCATAAAGTTAAAACATTTGTCATTTGGAGTTGTGTACAAAACGTTATGGTGGATACACTACAAACTGTCCGGGAAGAGTTTGGAAGTCTCTGCTGCAGAGGGCTGACTTTAGAAACTTCTATCTCGCAATCTATAATGAATTGGGAGATGATCAACATATGAAAGTTATAGCCCTTGATGTCTAGTTTCTAGAAAGTCAAACCATTTGTGATTTGGAGTTTTGTACAAAACGTTATGACCATTATATTAGAGGCTGTCTGAGAAGAGTTTTAAAATGGCTTTTGAGAATTTTGTGCATCGCGAACGCGATTGGGGGCACGCAAACGCGAAGAAGGGTCGCATGGGCAGTGTATAAGTTTGAAAAAATGGATTTGGCTCATTTCATCTCATTTCCTCCATAGGAGCTGACCTAGGAGCGATTTTGGAGCTCCATCTTCATAATCTATGTCAAGGTAAGTGATTCCTACCTATTGCAAGTTAAATACTTGGTTTATATACGAATTTAGGCGTGAAAATTCATGAAAATTTGTAGAAATATGGGATTTTGAAGAAAAAACTAGAAATTGGTATTTTTAGATTTTTGACCACGAATTTGGTCATGGGATTGAGAATAAATTACGTGATTGAGTTCGTGATGTTATGGGTAATGTTTATCTTCGAAAATTTTCAGAATCCGGGCACGTGGGCCTGAGGGTGATTTTTATCGACTTTTCGATCGGGGTTAGAAATTGTTATAAATTGGATTATAATGAGTATCTGAGTATATATTTATGAGTTAGCACATTTATTGACTAGTTTTGGAGCGTTGGGCATCGATTTGAGTTGTTGAAAAGGCTTTGGAGCCGGTTATGGAATTTCGGAGCGAGGTAAGTCTCCTTTCTAACCTTGTAAGAGGGAATTAACCTCATAGATGAATTGGTTAAATATGTGCTTCTACTTGCGGGGGCTACGTTCGCACGAGGTGACGAGAGTCCGTGCGTAGCTGCTTATTATGCTTATGCCCGGTAGTTTTAGATCTACAACATGCCTGTTGATACCATTGTTTGATTATGTTTATTATTTGCCTTGAAAAGAGTTGAAATTGAGGATTTCGAGACTTGAAAGTTTTCATTTAATGTCGTATTTTCGAAAAAGAATTTAAGAAATATTATAATAACTTAAGAAATCTATGTGCAACCGCGTCGCAAATATATTTTGCGAGCGGGGTAAATTTTCACTACTCTCATGGGAGCGGGTCGTTCGCCTCGGCAGGTTTATATTTGACCGCGTCGCATGTATGATTCGCGAGCGAGGTAATAAATGCATCTATGGTTCGCGCCGTTCGACCCTCGGCAGTGCACATTTTATTGTTGGATCGGGCCGTACGACCTCGGCATGACTTGCGCATGATTGTATTAATTGCTTCGAAAATTATAATAACTGATATTGCCTCATTGGCATGAGATATAAACTGTTAAAATGATGAAAATGAATTTGGAAAATTTCTTGTTAACAAAAGAATTGTTTACTAATTTCATAATATCGGGCTTACAGTTGTTCTACGTGATCCATACTTAATCATATCATTGGTTTATTAATTATAGCCCATAGTAAGTGTCCGAGTCGACCCCTCGTCACTACTTCTTCGAGGTTAGGCGGGATACTTACTGAGTGCGCGTTGATTTACGTACTCATGCTACACTTGCTGCACATTTTTGTGCAAGTACACATATGTTTAGCTGCCTTGTGGGCGCAGAGGCACGATTATGGCGGGGACTTAGGTGAGCTGCATTCTATACGACGATCCGCAGCCAATAGAGTCTCCTTCAGAGTACTTACATTTTTCCTGTCCAATTTGTATTCCGGACAGCTGTTGTATTTTATTTTACATTACTAGTTAATGCTCATGCACTTGTGACACCGGGTTTTGGGATGATTATAGGTTGCACTGTATTGGAATTTTTAAAGATATTATTATGTATTTTGTAAACTCTATTTTCTACTATTTAATTGAGGGAAAACTATGATTTCAAAAATACTAAAATGAGACCAGAATTAAGTATTTAGTGTTGGCTTGCCTGACAGCGGTGTTCGGCGTCATCACGGCCTTTAATGGATTTTGGGCCGTGACAGCAGCAGCAGTGAGAACAACAACCATTAGCAAAAAGCAGTTAAGGCAAAAGCATTTGGGTATATGAAACCAGATTCTAGTCATAAAATAAATTGAAGGAGGAAAATTCAAACAATAAAAAACTCAAACAATATCGCGCTAAAGGATAAAGATGTACCGTGAGAAAGTGAAGTATTTTCAGCAACACTAGGTATCCTTGATGTTTGTGGTACTCGTTGCATAACCTGAAATAATAAAATAAGTGAATGTCAAAAAATGAAATCAAACGTGAAGCAGAAAAAATTGTGATTCTATATATATAATATGTCAAAGTAGCTACAACTTCAATCAATTCAATTGACAAAAAAAAATTCAGAAATTCAACAAAAATTGCAACAAAATAAGTACTATTCCAGCTCTCAAAAGAAATTACCCAGGAGCAAACTACAAGCTAGTTGTCAAAAAAATGCATAATGAAAAATTGTCGGCAAAACAGCTATACATAACCAAACTGAAAACAGCTCAAACATTTGTCTGATGAATCTCAAATATCCCCAAATAGACCAAATTATACATACCTTCAATAGAAAAATACCAACTATTGACTTGGGAAAAAAAGAATTGTCTTCGAATAACTAATACTACCTCTAACCACAAGACAACCCAAAACCAACACCATCTTCTGCTATAAAACATAAGATGAAGGAGAAGCAGTAAGAGGCTCATGATGACCGGTCTTTAATTTATGGCCAAACCAAGTTACTAAAATATTAGATGGATTTACAGAAACTTAACTTAAGAATAAAATGTTCACTATTCCTTAACGACTCGATATATAATCAAACTGGTACATAACACAATCTATGGAATATTGAGCACAATTTAATAAAGAAGTAAGATGTTAACGAATTCTAATACAAGAGCATACCATGAGAAGATAGAGTATTTTCACTAACACTATGCATTCGTTGCGCTTGTGGTACTCGTTCATGGTCACTGTTGGCATCAGGGACCTGATTAATATTAGCAAGTTATATATAACATTAATTCATAAGATCAAAATTTCTGAAAAAATATCTTAATCTTTGGAAGTTGAGTTACCTGTTCAGTTGAGAATAGATTGATATTCTGCGATGATAACTCATTAGGAGCAATTTTGCACATGACTTGTCTCATCCATAATAATTCTTGTTTCATCAAACTCATTTCTTTATTTTGTTTTCCGTTTAACTCTGTTAACTCTATTATCTTTTGTTCTAACCTTCATACATCATTAGACGAATCCTCTGGAACAATATTTTCTATGGAAGATTTACCACCCCACAGTATCGAAGGAGTTGGACCAAGTCACAAACCTCGAGCATACCCACTTTTTTCATTTCCCAACACTTATCTCCTTTTCAAGCAACACTGTAAGGAGGCTGGTCATTCGATCTCTCACTACTACTACTCAATTTTTCATTTATCATGTCCTGATTAGAGAGGGTTATTAAAGAAAGTAAATCCATTCAGAAACAATAAAGAATTGCTAAAAAGAAATAACTTTAGATTAGGAGGAGGTATTTTGGAGGAACAAGATGCAAACAAAATCGCTGAACCTGAATTCAACTAAAACAAATGAAATTCAAAAATTAAATGATAGAGAAAAAAATCTTACGATTGTCCTTGAAGACTACTCATCAAGTGGTCAACCGTCCTTACGTTGTTTATGAGTTAAAATGAAAACTTGTGCTCGTGTAGGCTCTATGCTATTTTCAGCCTAATACAACCAAATCAATGTCAGTTATGCACGACAAAAAGTATTTTAAAATATTATATTTAGTAATTTTACATGAATACCATCTCTCCCTTTTTCTTTTTTGGAAACGATTTGATTCATGAATCAATTGAAAAACCTACATTAGAGTTTTTACAACACTAATCCAAAACTAAAACTAACTCCAAAAGTACCCCAAAAAGAAAACAAAACAAAATCCAAAAGTAAGAAAACAAAAGCTAAAGTACTTGAAACTAAAAAACAAAACACTATTTAGCTAAGGGTCAAGTGTAACACTTGTTAGTAGAATAACTAGTGGACATTTCACAACTAGGACAAGGAGAAGAATCCCAAAGCAAATTCGTCGTCCAAGCATCAACAACCATATTAAAAGGAAAATTATTCATTAATGCTAAAACCACTAAATTGGATAGGTGGACTTGTTTTGTTTATCAATGAAATTTCATTTGAATAATTAGTAAAGTGGCTGCTGGTTAGAAAATGATCTGATGTAGTGTTTTCAGGTACTGTTGGTGACACCCAAGAATGAGAAAGAGCTATATGTGCAATGGAGTTTGCTTTCTTGAAAATCCTAAACTCATGCATCAACGAGTCAGTTTTAATGCCTTCTGCAGCTCTGCCTTTGTAGAAAACTAGGGATTTCTTCAAGCTAATGCCTTGATCCTTCAGAAGAGTAAATTGGCTTATCAGTAGTTGTGGCTTTCCCAAAACTAGCTCCAGTTACTCGACTTGGCCTTGCACTATTTCTATACTTTCAATCCCTTGGACAGTAGAAATACAATTCTTTTTCTCCCGTTGTTGCCAACTTTGGTAGATCCTGTGGATCATACTTATAGATGTCAATTTGCTTGATAAGTTCTATGGTGATAGGTTTCTGCTGAACTTTCCTCCTTAGATAAAGCCTACTAACTTCCTACGATCAAATATAGTGGGGAATATAGGTACTGTTACTAAACATATGTAAGTCTAGAAAAGGACACATATACATACATACTGTAGAAGTGATATAAAAAGTGATGCTGTGCATTAGCAGGTAACAAACAAGAAATTGGATTGTTATACAAGTTGAAGGGCAATAGAAGATAATAGATATCCAACATAATGATATTAAAAATCACATTCTGGAACCCAGTAATGTAAAGTATAAGACAACTTGGTCCATAGAGTAACCAGCGATCTAATTATTACTTATAAATTTTCCAACTTTCAGAATCTTCTTTTGAAGTTCTGTTCTTAATCAATTAATTTCGTCATCCTATTTTTGACACAATGAAGAAAGGTTTACACCCAAACCAAATATAGCAATTTCTAACTATAATTACTGTCCCTTATAAAAGGGTCCTCTTCAAAAGGGTGTGCCGACCAAAGCTACTCTACATGGACGAAGATTGAAGCAAAGTTCACCACTACCAAAATTGATAAACAACAATTCAATTCACACTGTGTAAAAACAACCATAAACTAACAATTTCTAACCACAACCAAAACATAGCAAATTTGTAACTTTCTCCCCTCCAAAGTCTGGAATGATATTTATTTGGAGCAAGAAGAGACATAGAAGAAATATAACAGTGATTAAAAAGAGTATTTTTTGAAATATATTACTTGGGTTTGGTGGCGCTATGGTGAGGATCGGCGATAGGCGGCGACTCCGCGATAGGGCAGCAACAATGAGAACTTTACAGGGGATGAGAGATTTTAATTTTTGAAGTATTTTTTTTTAGTTTCCCCAACTTAGACGGAAGAAATCGGAGGGAATGGGTTATTTTAGTCTAAAATTTTGGAGGGGAATACAAAAGTAATAAAAGTCACTTTTAATTGTGGCTATTGATTTTTATTGCCACTAAAAAGGTATGTAATAGCGTCTGATGCTTATTTGCCGCTAATATTTTCGTTTACAAAACTATTTAGCGGCCATTCTTTTATTGCTGCTAATTAAATGCCACTAAAAGTCTCTTTTGTAGTAGTATAAATTCTTGCAAGTTATAAGAGTTTAATTACTCGATTAATTTTTAAAGAGTTGAATATGTGTTTAAATTACTAGTTGGCTTGCCTAGTTGTAGTGTTGGGCGCCATCACGACCTATAGGTGAAATTGGGTCGTGACAGAGATTGACTCTGAGTTGGAGCTTGTGTTGCGGGACTAGTGGGTGTTTCATCTAATTCTTCTTCCTCATTTTGTTCATCCTTATTTTCTTCGTCCTCAATAAAAATATCATTGCCAAATTGTCTGTGTAAAGTTTCATGATCTAGTTGTTCTCCGAAATTAATATTATAACATGCGGGAGTTGGGAAAATGAAGTTTCATCAACATGAGTCATTTCATCTATATGTTTTTTAATTCTAGGAGAAGGATTAGGATTAGGACCCTGCTGGAGTTGCTCAAACTGAAACCGCAACTCTTCCCTCTGAGAGAGTGCGGAGGTTTATTGCGGGTTTACATACTGGCATTCAGGCCACTATTGCCCGAGAGGTTGAAATAGGTACTTCTTATGAACTAGTCGTGGGGTAGCCCGGAGGATTGAGGGTGTGGGTCAGCGGAGCGGAGAGCGGGTTATGAGAGATAAGCGGTTTAGATATTCTGGAGAGTTCAGAGGTGCTCCGTCTGGGGGTAGAGGCCAGTGCGTGAGAGGGCAGTCCAGCAGGACCCCATATCCAGCACCACTGCCTCCTCGGGGTGCTCCAGTACGACCTTATTTCAGTGTTATGCCAGAGAGTTCTTATCGCCCACCAGCTATCCAGGGTTCTTCCAATGGCTATTCAGGTCCCCAGGGTCATACTTCTAGTCAGCAGCCCATCACACCGAAAAGTTGTTACGAGTGCAGGGATCCCAGTCACATGCGGAGATTCTACCCCAGGCTTTGGGGTATACCAGTGCATCTGGGTAATCAGCCTATGATTACTGCACCAGTTTCTCTACCAGCTGTCAGACCACCAAGAGGTGGAGGGTAAGTGGGTAGGGGTCGTCCTAGAAGTGGAGGCTAGCTAGGCGGAGGCCAGCTAGTTAGCACTCCAGCTTGGTTCTATGCTTTTCCGACCAGACCAGATGCAGAGGCCTCAGATGCAGTGATTACAGGTATTATTTCTGTTTGCGGCAAAGATGCCTCCGTATTATTTGATCCAGGATCTACGTATTCATATGTGTCTTCTCGAGAGTCTTTGAGTACTCTTGTTTATGTGTTCACTCTTGTGGGCGATTGTGTGGTTGTGGATCAGATCTATCGGTCCTGTGTTGTTACATTCTGTGGTTATGTAACTAGAGCAGATCTTCTGCTGCTTGAAATGACCGACTTCGAGATTATCCTATGCATGGACTGGCTATCCCCATATCATGCCGTCATAAATTGCCACTCTAAGACTGTTACTTTGGCAATGCCGGAATTTCCTAGGTTGGAGTGGAAGGGTTCGTCTGTCAGCGCATCTAATCATGTTATTTCCTTTCTATAAGCTCGACATATGGTCGAGAAGGGTTGTTTGGCTTATCTAGACTATGTTCGGGATACTACTGCAGAGACTCCGACTATTGATTCAGTTCCTGTAGTTCGGGAGTTCTCTGATGTATTTGCTTTAGATCTTCCAAGCATGCCACCAGATCGTGATATTGATTTTTGTATTGACTTGGCTCCAGATACCCAGCCTATATCCATCCCACCGTATCGCATGGCTCCGAAAGAATTAAAGAAATTGAAAGAACAACTTGAGGAGTTATTAGCAAAAGGGTTCGTCAAACCAAGTGTATCGCCTTGGGATGCACCGGTGTTATTTGTGAAGAAAAAGGATGGAACTATGCGAATGTGTATTGACTATCGCCATCTGAACAAAGTCACCATTAAGAACAAGCACCCGTTGCCACGTATTGATGAACTATTTGACCGGTTACAGGGTGCTAGGGTATTTTCTAAGACTGACTTGAGGTCGGGGTACCATCAGTTGAAGATTCAGGATTAGGATGTTCGGAAGACTACTTTCCGGATTAGATATGGTCATTATGAATTTCTGGTGATGTCTTTTGGTTTGACTAACGCCCCGGCGACGTTTATGGATTTGATGAACAGGGTATTCAGGCCATATATCGATCTGTTTGTCATTGTCTTCATTGATGACATTTTGATCTACTCGCGCAATAAAGAGGAGAACGAGCAGCATATGAGAGTGGTGCTTCAGACACTGCGGGAACAAAAGCTTTATGCTAAGTTCTCCCAATGTGAGTTTTGGCTAGATTCATTTGCATTTTTGGAGCATATTGTATCAGGCGAGGGCATTAAAGTTGATCTTAAAAAGATCGATGCAATTCAGAATTGGCATCGTCCCACTTCGGCGACTGAGATAAGGAGTTTCCTAGGATTAGCAGGTTATTATCATTGGTTCGTGGAGGTCTTTTCATCTATTGCAGCACCCTTGACCAAATTAACCCAGAAGGGTGCTCTGTTCTGATAGTCTGATGATTGTGAGGTGAGCTTTCAGAAGCTCAAGACAACATTGACTACAACACCAGTGTTAGTGTTGCTTTCCGGTTCGGAAATGTATACTATATTGTGACGCTTCACGCATTGGTTTGGGTTGTGTATTAATGCAGGAGGGGCGAGTTATTGCATATGCTTCACGTCAGCTGAAACCCCACTAGAAGAATTACCCTGTGCATGATTTGGAGTTAGCTGCAATTGTTCACGCTCTTAAGATTTGGAGGCATTATCTTTATGGGGTATTTTGTGAAGTTTACACTGATCATCACAGTTTGCAGCATTTGTTCAAGCAGAGGGACCTAAATTTGAGGAAGCGCAGATGGCTTAAGTTACTAAAAGATTATGATATTATATCCTATATCATCCGGGCAAAGCGAATGTGGTTGCTGACACCTTGAGTAAAAAGGGGGATATTTCGAAGCCCAACCGGGTTCATGCGTGTGTTGTGGCCCAATATTCACTATTTGAGCAGATCAAGGCTCGCCAGTTTGATGAGCCACACTTAATGGTTCTTCGAGAAATGGTACTTCAGGGTGGTGTTAAGGAAGTTACTATTGGCGCAGATGGTGTTCTGCGACTCCAGGATCGTTTATGCGTTCCTAATATGGATGGACTGAGGAAAAGGATTCTAAAGGAGGCACACAGTTCTCGATATTCTATTAATCCAGGTGCTACGAAGATGTATCGTATCTTGAGGCAGCATTATTGGTGGCGGAGGATGAAAAAGGACATAGTTGAGTATGTAGCTAAGTGTCTAAATTGCCAGCAAGTTAAATATGAGCACCAGAGGCCAGGTGACCTACATCAGCAGATGACTATACCTGAGTGGAAATGGGAACGCATTACTATGGATTTTTTAGTTGGGTTGCCGCGGACCTTGCGGAAGTTTGATGCAGTTTGGGTCATTCTCGACAGGTTGACCAAGTCGGCACACTTTATTCCAGTTGTGACTACGTATACTTTGGAGAGGTTGGCCCAGATTTATATTCAGGATATTGTTCGGTTGCACGGTGTGCCAGTTTCCATCATATAATATAGAATCCCTCAGTTTACTTCACATATTTGGAGGTCAGTACAGAGTGAATTGGGGACCCGCTTAGAACTCAGCACAATCTTTCATCCGCAGACTGACGAGCAGTCAGAGCGGACAATTTAGATTTTGGAGGATATGCTCAGGGCATATGTGATCGACTTTGGAGGTCATTGGGATCGTTTCATGCCTTTATCCGAGTTTGCTTATAACAACAGTTACCAATCCAATATCGAGATGGTTCCATTTGAGGCTTTATATAGTCGGCAATGTCGTTCACCCATCGGATGGTTTGACCCCGGTGAGGCTAAGTTATATGGTACTAATTTGGTGAAGGATGCCTTGGAAAAGGTAAAGTTGATTCAGGAGTGAGTTCGTACAGCACAATCCAGACAGTAGAGTTGCGCGGATCAGAAAGCGTGTGATTTATCATTTATGGTAGGTGAAAATTTTCTCTTAAAGGTTTCGACAATGAAGTGAATCATGAGATTTGGGAAGAAAGGCAAGTTGGGCCCAAGTTTATAAGACCATTTGAGGTGTTGAGATGAGTTTGGGAAGTTGCTTATGAGCTTGCCTTGCCTCCCAGTCTATCAAGAGTTCATCCGATTTTCCATGTATCTATAATCCGGAAGTATCATGCTGACATGTCACATGTGTTAGACTTCAGTACAGTTCAGCTGTAACGACCCGGCCAGTCGTTTTGAATATTATAACCTGGTTCCCCCCCCATTTACTTCTCAATTTATGTCTTGCAATTGATTTATGACTTATCGGGTTAGTTGGTTCGGGTCCGGAAGGAACTCGGAGTGAAATGAGACACTTAGTCTCATAATTGAAAATTTAAGTTAGAAAAGTGGACCGGATATGGATCTATATGTAAACGACCTCGGATTTGAATTCTGATGGTTCTGTTAGCTCCGTATGGTAATTTTGGGCTTAGGAGCGTGTCCGGAATATTATTTGGAAGTCCGTAGAGGAATTAGGCTTGAAATGCCGAAAGTTTAATTTTTGAGAAGTTTGACCGGGGGGTTGACTTTTTGATATCGTGGTCGGAATCCAATTCTGAAAATTGGAATACCTATGTTATGTCATTTATGACTTGTGTGCAAAATTTGAGGTCAATCGGACGTGATTTGATAGGTTTCGGAGTCGTTTGTAGAAATTAGAAATTTCAAAGTTCATTAGGCTTGAATTGGGGTGTAATTCATGGTTTTAGCGTTGTTGAGGTGATTTGAGGACTCGACTAAGTCTGTAAGATGTATTAGGACTTGTTGGTATATTTTGTTGNTTTTTGATATCGGGGTCGGAATCCG